TCTGCCTTCTTTCCTCTTCTCTTATGCTAGCTTCAAAATAATCCACAAGCTAATGCCAATATATTACTTTTATGACGTGTTGAACACCAATCTGTGGTATTCTGGTGTGACAACACTTTGCTGCTTTGAATGACTTTGGAGACTGCTTTGGCGGTCTATAGTTATTTGGCCAAATGATTGGCAAAAAGGTTATTATGCCTTTTGGTTTTTCAGTTTATTACCAGTGATAGTAGACAGTGCTTAGAAAAATGTGTAACAGAAGAAGATTGAAGGGGATTCCCTGACAAGCAAAGAAGTTTGAATCACTTCCATAAAATGGAATAACATTGGCTTTTAACTATATGTGGCTAGATTGTTTTACTATGATTGGAAGTGTTTTAGCAGAGTTTCATCACATTCGTGGACAACTTTCCTTACCTTAACAGTAGTACAGTTTAACATATTTTAATTGTAATTTGTTAGCGTAGTCTGTTTTTGCTGTTCTCATATAAATTGAAAAATTTTAGACTTCTTAACGTTACAATGTTCTTTCCCCCTTGGCAACCTTTTTAAACCATTAACTAGGTGCAATACTATGCCAGGTCATTTCATTTAGTATTTGTATTAGAGGAAGATACAAGTTGTGCCTCTAAAATAAGGTCATGTTTTCTTAGTGCAGAACACCCTCATACACATTCTACTTTGAATAGTAGCATTTTGAGGGGTTTAAAAATAGATGCCAGTAGTTTGGGGTTTCCTACATGATTACCTACTATTAGGTGTCACAAAATAATACTATTCTGCGACTAGAAGAGGATATATTTGATCTAGCAAAGATCATAATAACAAGAATTCTAATTTGTGCTTGTTCCTGATATTTAACAGTGGGTATATGTGTGTATTTTTTAAGATCAAGAAATTCTCTAATCTTCAAAGTATTGTATATGATAACTGTATAAATGCTTTCTTGTTTCAGAAAGCAAAGAAACATGAAAAGATTTTTGGATAGTACCTGACGTAGGGGAAAATGTCTTGGATTTATAGGTATAGGATGTCTTGGTTTCTACTATTCAGTTTTAGAAGTCAGTGAACTTTCCTGAGTTTCAGTATTTTTCAGGAGATGCCAATAGATGAATTCTGTAATGCCTTCTAATTTTAAATGAACATATTTTAGTTAGCTTACATTGTTGGTAAAGTGTAAGTAAAATTACAAGTTAGTAATTCTTGAAGTTTTACTTAGAGATCGATATTGCTAACCTTCATTTCCCAAGGTGTAATATTGGAAAATTGAGCAAATATTCTATATATTTTGAATAGAGAGACATTTAAAAAATGTATGTATATGTAGGTTAATTTTTGTGATGATTAATAAAATTATTGCAATTTTAGTTCCTTAAGAATTTAAATGTTTTCATTACCATCTTTGAAAACTGTCTGGAAATGCATGTCAATATCAATGCTTAATTATGTGAAAATAAATTTAAAATAATTTTAACTTTTAGAGTATTAGATACTATGTTAAAAAATAATGGCACATGCTCATAAAATATTTGATTTAATAATTAGATTTATTATATTTGATTTTAATGCTAACTATGTGTCATCTCTTAACTAAGGCTTTTTTGCTGTGGTTCATATTTTGTTTTTAAGTAAAGCATTTATAAATTCAAAGTTTAAATCTAAAGTTTAGTTACTGGCATGTTCTGCTTGGGCGAGTTAATGGAAAGAAGTACTAAATTTGTAGTTTACTTGTCAGGAATCAGCTGAAACTAATAGGAAGTTAAAAAAAATCAGTTGTCTACATAGAAGCTTTGATCAGAATTGAAAAAACTATGTTTCTACACCATTTTAATTGTATTTTCTACAATATAGTGTTCATCTTTTTAACAAGATCATTTTATGTATCATTAGATAAATGCAAGGTTTTAAAAGGCAGAAGTTAGTGTGTGAGATATTTTTCTATACCTATAATGCTAAGTGCTTTCTAAATGGTTAGGTAAATATTTAAAAATTCTGTGCCCTTAAAGTCTGTATATATTATTTAGGGTGATAATTTTATTTGAAGAAAATATGTGGCATGGAAACTTAAAAAGAAAAAGAAATTTTAAAGTGCAAGTGATTATTTTATCCCTTTAAGGAATTTGCAAGGCATACCTCACTGAATTTTTTTTCATAATAAATACTGTAGGATTTGTGACATTTCATTTATGGTGTCAATGAGTAATGTTTTATTCTCATTTCATGCTAATAGTTTGTAGTAAAATATCAGCCTATGTAATTTTATGCTCTACTTTGTAAATAGTGTATGTACTCTGCCACAGTTATCTTTTAGAAACAAATTTGATCAGATCACTCGCTTTGTTTTTAAAATCTATCATGGTTTTTTACTGTGCGCAGGATAAAGTTCATGCCCTTGACCCTTGCTTGCAAAATCTTTCATAACCTACTCTTAGCTATTTTTGTTTCATTATTAAAAAAGCATTCTAGGACCTCTGGAACAAGCCCTCCTGGCATCCATCCTTTTGTTTGAGAGCTGCTTATTGTTCCTGAACTTAGAGATTTTTTCTTTTGCTTTTATCATTCCTACTGGTTGAAATCTCCTTTAAGAAATATATACAATTAAAGTCTCTAGACAGTACACTATTAATGTATAAGCTGATAACATAACTCCATCATAGGCCGACAGGTGGCGTGGAGGTTAAGGCAGCCGGATCCCACATGGCTGGCTTTGTGGTTCAATTCCCAGACCTGGCAACTTGAGAAGCACTCTGGAAAAATGTACACGTGTGCCCAAAATCTTGAGAGGAGAAGGAATTGCAGCAGGGCCATCTCCCCAGGGGGTGATTTTTTACTTTCCCTCTCCCTGTATCTTTCTCTCTCTCCCTGGCAAGTGCATGTACCATATAGCATACTTAAAAAAACAGAAATAAAAACAAAACCTACCTTGTAGTGGAGTTGGTTATATTGAAAAATGAAAGTTGATGCATCATATAAAGCAATGTTGATGTTATAGAATACTTTCATTGTGTTGCATAAGTTAGTATATTTTCATGATTTGCTTTTGTATACTGAGTGGAATGCAACCATAAGTAAAACTGAAAAGTTTGTTGTCATTGTCCTTAGACTCTTATCCTCCCTAGACACTGCCCTTCTCTCCTTCTTTCCCTTTTCCCTTTTAATGACCAACTCAGCATAATTCTCCAGCCTTCTGCCTTCCTATATCCCATTCAAAGTGGGAAGAATCTACCCTTGCTGAAAAAGCTTATTTCAGTATAAATATTTGCATAGATATAGAAGATACAGGAGCAATTTGGAGTTTAAATCATTGGAATCCGCTCATTATTTAGAAAAGGAAAGAAGTTGAATCCCAGAGAGATTAAAAATATTGTCTCAGGGTTATACTGTGAGTTACTGGGAAAACAGGGACTTGACTCCTGGTCTTGACTCGTGACCCCTGAAGAGCGTGTGTACCTGCAGTCACAGTTTTCCCAGGCAGCACTTATTTGCCAGGTATCTCCAATCATGTGACACAAGTCAGTGTCTCTGGTTAAAGGGGCAGGAGGTGGTGGTGAGAGGAAGGGGGAGAGTCAGGTGGAACTCCTGAACCCTAGGACCTCGCAGGTCAACTTGATGCCTGGTAACAGTTTTTGTTTCATGGTGCCTTCGGAACTAGCCATATGCCATATTTATGTTATATGTTGAGGGAAGAGGGAAAGGTAAAAAAAAAAATTAGGGAGAATGGAGATGAACTATTGTCTGCTTTGCATAAAGGCATTCAATTTAAAGACACTAAACAACTGC